AACCTCACACCAGACCCAGCCCTGAAACATCTGCTGATTCATGGGATTATCCACGACATGCAATTAGCCACACACCTAAATCTCACTGGGCTTGCGGCTGCAGCCTCCCCCTCTCCATTTTCAATATCTCTCTCATTAATTTTTTCTTTTTTTTTTAAAAAACTTTGCTGAGGCTGCGCTGCTCAACGTCCTGAGCAAGGCTGTTTGCTTCCCCTTCATTCATTCCCTGAAATATTTCAGCCGAGGCCAGCAGAGCCATAAATAAAAAGAGTTTAAAGCATCGCTCATGGTAGGACACTTAGAGTAGCCAGCGTGGCCAGCCATGCCAGCAACGCCCCAGGCCAGCCCGGGTGAGCACAGATGCCCCTTGATATCTGCAAAATGCTGTTATGCACCCCAAAAAAATCCCATTACCCAGCACCTGCGCTGCACTGAATTTTTTCAATTTTAATCCCAAAATGGAGAACCGCAATTTGCTGACATAGCAGTGAAAAACCTCTCCCTTTCCACCCTCCTCTATCCCCTATTTTTGCTGTTGTCAGCACCACTAATTTGGGGTGTGCCCATGCTCGCTAAACAGTGCCCAGGCTCGCATCCCACTGCCCGGCAAGCCTGCCTGCAAGGGCAGAGATTTTGCAAACCTCAAGCTGGAAAAGTGTTTGTGGCCAGAGCCAGCCTTTAACAGGAGCCTGGCGAGTTAAACGTACCCCGAAAAACCTTCCCAGAGCTGCTGCACTCACTGTATTTTCTGGATCAGCTGCAAAAAACCCCTAGCAAAGTGATTCAAAGGGCTAATCTCGTTTTAACCTAAATTCATTTAGTGCCATGCAAAACCAGCATAATCTCCTGCAGCTAAGAAAGCCGCAAGCCTTCAGTGGAGCTGTTCCCTACCTCAAGGAAAATGTTCCTGCCACCTACCATAACGCTCCAGAGACTCCCATTAATTCCCCTATTCCTAACAAGGGTTGTAAACACTTGGATGTCGGAGCCCAAAAAGCTGCCGAGGGAATGGGGCACTACAGGAGAGAGCAGCTTTGCCTCCACAGGTTTCACAGGCTGAAGGCAAACACCAGATAAAGGATGTGGGACAAGGATGCAATAGCGGGTGAGGTGGGATGGGGAAGGGAGGCTGGCTGGGTTTAGGGTACCAATTTGCTAGCTGAGAGCTACATCATTCAATAACACAATTTTTACTTGTGAGTTGGGGCTGTCGGTGCTTTCTTATGACACAGGACCTTGGGGAGAGATGGGGAAACCCCCTTTTGCACCCAAGGATGCCAGGCAGAGCCAAAGGCACCACGGACAGCACAGCCACCCACACATCCCTCCCAGGCTCATCTAAGACACACCGGCACGTTGGATGCTTGCTTCTGGGTTGGGTCACCCCAAGGGCTTCAACGCTGTTAGCTGCAGGGAGGACACACGCATTTGCATTGCTTATAAGAGTCCTCACTCCCTCCAGAGCAAAAAAGCTCTTTTTATTTATTTTTTTTTTTTAATTTTTATTTTTGCAAGATAGCTTCTGCAAAGCCAGTCACTGGAGAGGTGCAGCACAGCATCCACACCTGCCACCAAAGGGGCGACCCACTCCTTCGGATCAAACCGGTTTGGTACGGAGAGAAACTGCCTCGAGTTGTCTGCCTTTGGAAAGGCTAATCACCGAGAGTCAAACTTGAATTAGCTCTAATTAAAGGCTTTCCAACCAGCTTTGAGCAATCGGCTCCCGCAGCCGCTCGTGGTCCAGACTGCTGCGATACAGCTCAGCCACCGGCACGAGGCTCCAGGGATTCAGTCTCCCTTGCACAAACTGCTCCTCACAGCTTTCGGCATCCCTCCCAGTGCCATTCCATCACCGCCCGCATCCACTGTGCGGGAGCCAAATCAGGGGGAGGAGGTAAACAGGTTACAGCAGGTAAGACCTTGCAGAAACACAATGTGCTGCAATGCTGAATCTGCATCCCTAGGGGCTTTCAACCTTTGACATCCCACTTCAGCACAGCAACAGGTCCAGGACCTTCAGGGCATGGGAATGACGAATGCCTAAGGCTGATTATGAGGGATGCTCATTTGAAAAAGCCCAATCGGATGCATGGCGGAGGAGAATGCGCTAGCTTGGGTGAATTTGTTAAAAAACACCTCCTTTGCTGAAATGAGCCCCATTTCTTACGTGGGCCCACCTGAGCCACCTGCTCAAATGATCAGCAACCCAATTTTACCAATTTCTAAACAAGTGAAAACAAGTGAAAACTGTGGGGGACCACGAGGCTCCAGGTGCTGCTGGATGCTGGGGAACACAACACGCTGTTTTAAAAAACAAAGAGAAACGTCCTCCAGGAGAGCTGGCTGGGAAGTCCAGAAGACTTGCATACAATTACCCTTGAGATTTGGGGTTGCTCATTCTCTGGAGCACCCACTTGCTGCATTTTCAGTTACGGGCACACAACTAAGGTGAGCAAACAGCTTGCGGTTACTCCATCGTTGGGAGTACACCATCCCCACAGGTCGCCTGATAAACCCCGCTCCTGGAGCTACCACCCGCATTTTTGTGCTGTTTGAGAAGCACCTGAGAGTCTCGGCCAAAACAACGCAACGCTCAGGAGCACTGAGTGCCTCACAACCCAAGTCTGTTAATCAGGTGTTGTGCTGATGAACACGTCCCACGTTTTATTTGATATCCTAGCCCAGCTCTTTGTTGCAGTATTCAAAGCAGTAACTAGGAGGACAGAGGTTACTACCTGCTCCAGGAGACCAAGAGGATAACGTGTCCTTCTGGAACATTGCAATTACTGGAAACTTTAATTCACATGTGCAAAATGACAAACCATAGCTTTGTCTCAGGCTTTTCATTTCATTTTTTACATCTTTGATATAAAGAAAAAAAACACATCATCTTGGAGCATGGTAGGAAATGAGAAAGCTACATGCCGCTTAATTACCAGGAGCTGGACGAAAGAAAACAGCAACTGAATGGGAGCAGGAGCGATCCGGCAGCTGGCAAAGCAAGCCTATCCCAAATTTGGGCAGGACACACAGGGCAATGCTTGGCATGCACCTGGCTTGGGGTCTCTCAAAAACACAAGCCCAGGACTCCCGCTAACGCATCGAAACCTGTGATTTCACAGTATGGTTACAAGGGACCAAGATGTTTGGTGCACTAAATGGAGTCATGTGGGATATGCAACATGGTGAAGGGACCATGGTTCCTCTTACAGGGGGAGGTTTGGGATGGTCAAAAGGGGATTTGGGAATCCGCTGCCCCACAAGTTCTGCTATACACAAAGGCCCACCTTGCCAGGTCCCCCACCGAGGAGGTCTGCAGGCACCCACTCCTTCCCCTTTGGGTCTGGGTCACTGCTAGGGCCAACGGCAAATGTTTCACCAACTGATTTAGGGGGAAGAGCCCTCTCGCAACTGCCCCCACCTCCATCCATGTGTTGTCCCATTGGCTTCCATGTTCAGAAGAAGCCCCATCCATCACCTTTCATGAACACTTCCAGAAGACCACTGAATTATCAGAGCCAAAAAAAACCAAAAGCACACTGACAGGTAAGGCAGGAGTGCCCAAAACAAACTGCAAAGGTCACCAAGGCGCCTCCCGATGACTTACACCTGGCCAAGACCCTACTGCAGGATATTCTGCAGCAATTTATTTATTCTTCCAAAACACAGGGCAGGTTGTTTCAAGGCCAGAGCTGCCAAAGAAGGGCAAAACTCTGGAGGACAGCATGCATAGACTCCCCCATGCCACCTGTCACCACCTTGGAGGAAGCAACTCACTGCTCTACAATGGCAACATATAGTGCTCAAGGATGCTTGGCCTTTCTCACAAAATCCTGGGCATTTAGTTTTAGCATTTAAGAGCAGTTTAAAGGGGCATGCTTTTTCCTCTGCATCCTCAACATGAGGCCTCAAGTACCAGGTCCTCCCGGTGACCTTCAAAGATACGTCAAAACCACAACACGTAGGACTCAAGAGCTTGTCAAAACTTTGACAAGGTTTTGAGCAAACTTTGACAATGCTTTGCTCAAAAGCAACACAAAGCTTAAATATAAGCCTCAGAGGAGCTCCAGGGAGAAGATGGAGTCCAGCCACTTGGCTATTAGCTGAGTCCCATGCACCCACGTGCTCGCCACAGTCAGATAAGACGTGCACCACCTCAGACAACAGCGTGCAAAGCCCAGCCCATCATTACCGGCGTGGTGTCCTCCATCAGGCCTCGGATCTTCTCCACCACATCGTTACGGCGGTGCTGGCGGAGGGCACTGATGAGCTGGGCCAGGCTGGCCTCAGGCCCGCGGATGGTCCAGTGCTGCAAGGCGGCGTAGGCGCGCTCGTGGTCGGCAGCATAGCCGTTGGAGAAAGCCGCCACCTCACGCTCGCTGGCGTTGCACAGGAACTGGTAGATGTCCTTCCACTGGCTTCCCACCTGGGCTGCCACCAGCTTCAGGATGTCGATGCCTGTGGGGCAGAAGAGCTACAGGTGAGGCACGGGGATCTGCACAGCCTCCTGGCTTTGCGGATCTAAGATTTAGCAAAGTTTCTCCCCTCCCCAAATAGCCATGCTTTGCTTTGGTTGGACCTTTTTTTTGGAGATTTTATTATCATTATTATTATTATTCTTAAGACCTTTCATGAGTCCAGGCTGCAAGGAGCTCTGCAGACAAGCAGCACCCATAACGTGCTCAACACCTGCTACACAAGTAAAGGCTGACAGACCCATAGGTTGCTCCAATTGAGGCACACGCATGTTAATTTAACCATAAAATTTCCAGCATTCTTCAGCACAGGAAAAACCCTGGTACTCAGCCACCCCATAGCTGCAGGAACAGGGGAGATGGCAACAGGGTCACCTATATGCCTGTGTCGCAGCTGGATTAAGAGGCAAGTCACCAAAGCATCTCTATAAAGATGAATAGTTCCATAACACAGCAGCTACGATTGCATTTAGAGCCATTTTCAGTGCAGACGGATGCGATGACTCAGTTATGGGACAGAAGACCCTACACCAGGTGAGCGTCGGGTGAATGGAAGATATGGTCAGGGATCCGAAGAGCAAAAAGGCAGAGTTTCCCCCAGAAAAGCCCTTGAGACGTGTTGGTTCAAGCTAGTGAGGGTTTCCTCCCTGTAGCCTCAGGGGCAATGCAAACAGCATGCTTATCTTTGAGTCCACTAAGTCAGGAGTCAAACCTTCAAATAAAGCCATACCTCCTCCATAATAGCCGATTAACCCTGTTTTATCAAGCTGAGCAACACCTTGTTTCCAACAACCACACGAAGTGTCGGTGTAGGTGAGCTGCAAAGAGAAACTCACTTTTTCCAGAGAAGTAACCACACCTCGAGTTTCTTCATGCGCCAGCATGCCCGCATCGCTACAGGGACTGTTTCTCCTTCCCTCCGCAGGCACAACCGCTGTGTCAGCAAAAAGAGCTGCTCACGGAAAAGTATCACAGCCACGGTCTTTTTTTTTCTGACCTAAAATTTTTACAATTTCTAACGCAGTTTACACCAAACCTCTCAACTGCACCTTCAGGTCACAGCCCTGATATAGCAAAAGAGATAGATACATACACACATATATATATAAAAAACTAAACAGCCTGATGCAGACACACTGATATCTCTTTTTATATATATATAAATATATATCAGGCTGTATAATTTATCTCCTTTTTTATATCTGTGTATATATACACAGACACATGATATATGCATTTTTATGTGTCTCTACGTATGATATAGATATTCTGATTATGTGTATGTACTTACACATGTGGTGGGTTGACCCTATCTGAAGGCCAGGTGCCCACCAAAGCCACTGTATCAACCCCCTCCTCAGCGGTGAGAGAAAATATAATGAAAGGCTCATAGGTCGAGATAGGGACAGGGAGAGATCACTCACCAATTACTGTCATATGCAAAACAGACTTGACTCAACTTGGGGAAATTAACTTATTACCAATCAAATCAGAGTAGGATAAGAAACCCAAATCTAAAAACACCTTCCCCTCACCCCTCTCTTCTTCCCGGCTTAATTTTGTCTCCCTCCTCCCCACCAGTGGCACAGGAGGACAGGGAATGTGGGTTGGGGTCAGTTCATCACCCATTGTCTCTGCTGCTCCTTCCTCCTCATGGGGAGGACTCCTCCCCCTCTGCCCCTGCTCCACCCTGGGGTCCCTCCCACAGCAGACAGTCCTCCACGGACTTCTCCAACATCAGTCCTTCCCACGGGCTGCAGTTCTTCACGCATGGCTCCAGCGTGGGTCCCGTCCCCGCGGTGCAGCCCTTCATATACGTTTATATATCTCTATATACGATATAGATATTTAAAATACGCGCATATATATGCTCATATATATAAGCACATATATATAAAAAAACTATAACAGCCTCATGTAAATGTTTTTGACCAAACCCCTTCTCACTATTAAAGCAAGCTTATCAAGACCTGCTACATAGAGACTTTAGTTTTCACTTCCAAGCTAGATAACGTAGCCATGACCCCACGGTGCTGGTGTTCAGCCTGCTCTACAGCAGAGATGCCGAAGTACAAATCCCATTTTGTATATCCCTACCCTTCTCCCACCGTAACCACCAAACCTCCTTCCCCAGTTGATTTACAGGGATGTGCATGTACTATCTCACACAGAGATGTGAAGGTCGGGGTTTCTTCTACCATAAAAGCTCAGCCCACCAGCCCAGCATGGGGGACACAGCCCCTCCAAAAAACCAAACCAACCACAGGGCTTGGTTTTGACTATGGAGAGGTTCAGGAGGGCAAAAACAAAACCAACAACAACAAAAAAAAAGGGACAAAAAAAAGCTGCCTTCGTTATTCAAAATAAGCCCAAGACAAAGACAATGTCCCCCAGCATTAAGGAAGAAGAAAAGGCTGCAAACATGCTATTGAGATTTATGATGGGATTAATTATCTGAGGCACATAAATAGATGCTATCATCCATCGCATTTCAACACAGTAGCGGGAATCAAGCCTCGTCTTGTTAACTCTTCCCGTTACTCAAAAACCCAGCAGTCCAGTTCAAGGTGACACAGGTTGCCTGCAGGCTTCCAGGCAAATCCAAAATTCCTCTCCCTCCAAGCCTTTGCATCCAGGTTGGCAGTCAGTCCTGCCCAGGAAGGACAGGCAGCCCGAATCACGCCGGCAGCCGAGCCCTGCGCTTTCAGATATCACACACCCATGTTGGTAAGAAGTCCAAAAGCCAACTCAGGTTTGGAGTCTGATCTTTTAAACCAGCAAATTCAACTGCTTTTGGCATAAAAGCAGCAGAATGCCAGGTTTACACAGCCGACACTTAATTTTATCACTCAACTCAGGGTGGGGGAAAAAAAAAAAACAACAAAAAAAAAATCGATCCCTGAATATGATGGTAGAAAAAACTCTGCAAGGGTTGTGCACCAAGGTTAACGCCAGCAGTGCAAAGAGGGACAAGCAGGTCTGGTACTACCTGGAACTACCTGTTACCTATCTACAGCTAGATAACGACTTACTCACCGAGTTATAATATCTATATAGAGTGCATAAGTCGTTATCTCAGTGTATAAATCTTGCAGAGCTTTTTCCACTCTCGTATTCAGGGATTATTACTTTTTCCCAGGTTAAGTGATATATGTATATAGACAGGTAGATAGATAATGCTGCCCATTTTCTTTTTTATATATATACACACACACACACACAGACATACAAAATAAGCAGAGTCAGGTCCCCCTGACAGTGCTGCCCCGCGGTCAGACAAAGCACTACAGCTCTGCCCACACCCACTCCCACGCACGTCAGTCATACCGAACCATTAAAACTTCATTTGCTGTTTTATGACCCCTGCGTGGCACACCTTTCTGGGAAAGGAAAAAAACACATATACTACCTGTTCCCATCTATGCATTTAATGGTGATAAATCCCAGTATTTACAGCTGTTGAACTGGTGAGAAAAGTTTTCAGCTGGTCACAATTTGATTTGCACCAGTTTTATGCGGTGGCACAACATTTATGTTCAATAAAGTGGCCCCATAAACATGTTTACGTCCCTTGGCAGTAATATCCCAGGGCACAAGAACGTACCAGGCAGCAGAGGACTTAATGGCGCGGAATAATCTCTGGAGAACAAATGTTCCATTAAAAATGAATTTGGAAATGTCTACCTTAATACTATAAGAACCTTAAACTCATTTTCTTGCAACTATTAAATGAATTTAAGCCCCATATGTTCACTATATCCACTACAATATTGTGCAAACAAAACCCCAGAGAGATATGAAGAGACACAGACGCGAGCACAGATTTGGCTCCAGTCAGTTAGAAAACGACTGCTCCCTCTGTTCTTGAAAAATAAGATTAAAACCATTACACGACAAGTTGTGTCTGCACGCTGCCAAGTATTACTGCTCAAGCCATTTACAGTAACTTAATTCACTTGTTCAAAACTAAAATAAAATGTTAATGCTTATAATAAGCTTACAGTCCTACTATTTCCATATTTACAAAAGCCCTACAAGTTACTCTGCAGAGCACTAATAGTGCTGGAGCATCCCGCTGGGACAGGAAGGTGCCCACCAGGCTGCATGGAGCAAAAAAACCCGGCTCTACCTTAAGTCCTGGTCCTCCCCACCCACCGAACCGTATGGACCTTCTCCCACCATGCTCATCTGCACACCAAGGCTGAAGATGATGCTCAAAGCCCTCTGGCTCCCAGCAATCCCAAGTAAAATGGCTGAGCTCAGCAGGGACGGTGCTTTAACCCACCTATTTCATGTTTCCCATGCAAGGCCGGTTGCAGCCAGGTCGGCGTGATGCTAAAGCTGCTCTGAGCTTGCAAATATTGGAGAACAGCCCGAGTCCTCCTCCTTTTTTAACATGGGACAGAGGAACAGCCTGGGAGAATTGCCACCACCCTGCTGCTATGCAGGAGGCACCACCACCCTCTCCATCATCACCACCAGGGACCATCACCATTCATCAACCAGCTTTGCTTGCCTCAGACACTGGATTGAAAGAGGAGCCCTGGCTGTGAAAGCCCCATGGCTGCATCCAGCAGAGCTGCGTGTGCCGTGGCCATTTCAGAGCAGGCAACGACAGCATCTGAAGGATCCAGGACATCCATGTCTTGGGTACCTGGGCAGGTGGCATTTCAATTGCCATTATCTAAACATTGCAATTCTCTACATGTTGTGATGGCCTACTCCACGTAACTACCTAATATTTTTATTTTGAGGTAGTGATAACCCCGGAGCAAGGAAGAACTGCCCTACAAGCCAGAACAAGGCCAACATTTTGTGCACAGGCAAATGTGAAGCCCAGGAGTGGTTGTACACACATGGGAATACGGGTGCAACCAGGCATGTCTACAGCCAAACCAAGACAAACGGAGACAAGTCCGGAGACAGACGGACGCCTGCAGAGCAGCACAAGCAAACAGCACTGCTGAACACACATCCAGCTCA